TATGCATGAATTGGTCCAACGGACATTCAATTGCCCCTCATTCAACGAAGCCGACTCGATCTGCTTTTGTATGTAGGCAGGTGCGTATCCAGAGCCTTGCCAAGGGGGTCACTGGGTTGACAAAAAAACCCTGATGGTGACCCCCTGCTTAAAGAAAACATCGCTGGATATAGCTTACTGGTTGACAGGGGTATCGTTTTCTTCGTTGTGTTGTTACCTTTACCTTGCAACCATTACACCTTTACTGCATGCCACGAGATCATTTCTGCCTGTATTTTGAAGTCAATAAGCTGGAGACATCAGGTGTCGAACGCCGGTATGGAATAAATTACCGGCGCTCTTTATCTTACCAGGGTTCAGTGGGCTCTTTCTGAAACGATAAAGTTCAGAAGCTTCGTCAGAATTTTTATCTGGGTTGTACACTCGAAATGGGCCGACAATTTGCATTAATGTGGCCACGCCACGTTTGCCTAGAAATATTCAACTTTCATTGAGAATCGATGAGTGATACAAACAACGTAGCGTAGTGTTGTACATGCGCGCTGGCAAATTTCAGCAACAAAAACCTCGACACCAGACGTTGCAGTCTCCATAGGCTGCGCAGCATCGACCCAACGGCTAACGCTGGGTCATAGCCAACGGTTGGACGAAAATGATGGCGCTCCTGAAAGAAGCATCTTTGAACACATCAATCGATTAGTTATACAATTATGTATCGTAGTGTTTAACATGCGCAATCGCAAATCAGAGCAACAAAAATATTGACGCTAGACGCTGCTGTCTCCGCAGGCCACGCAGCGTCGGCTCAGCGGCTAGCCCTGAGTCTTGACCAACAGGTGGGCGAAAATGATGACGCTTCTGAATGACGTACTTTTGAACATTTTAGGACATCCAGTTTTATATTTAGGAGGTAATCTGGGCATATATTGACACCTGTACGATTTTTTGGATTGATGATAAGAACGAATTAGCCCTTACAGCAACGTAAAGTGGTGCTGGAATCTAGTGATAGAACTGGAAGGGTGAAAGTAGAATTTCTATTTTTGCGTTCCTGTGGCTGGTAATCTGTCTAGAGGACAGACAAATTGCTGTCTTTGCTCCCGAGATTGCGGGCGCGCATGTTCGAGCATTTTGACGCACTACTTGTTTCACTAATCGATTCTGCAGAAGAATGAACTATCTCAGTGCTAACATGAGATGGGGCGCTCATATTTTGAGCTCATTTCGATCCAGTCTTTTTCACAATAATAAGACACCTTATTTTCTTGCGGACAAAGGACTCCTTGAGTAGAACATTAAAGGCATATCACTATTCCTGGTCAAGGGCTGAAGGGCCCTTCCGTCCCAAACCGGGGTGTGTTCCGGCTGTCATATTGGTGACACGGGTGGGATCCCCTGGTCGATCCGGAGACCCTTAGAAAGATACCTCACGTCACATTGTTCCTCTGCCTGACGCCGGAGGCCTTCTGACTGATTGCAGGAACCCTCTTTGACGCAACAACATCCCTGATCGCCGCAGGTGATCCAATGATTGTCACATAGACTCCAGTTCTAGTCTTTGTGTGTGTGTTCTTCGGAGATATTGGGACCCCTGAACGTGGATTGTAGATCAAAATGGGGTCCCAAATTTGCATGGACATGACTAACTAGTCCATATTCGTCTTGAAATGTTCAGCATTCAGTCAGAGGTGATTGCTGAAAAATATTGTATAACATGGTTTTGAGCAAGCCCGCTCGCAAAGCTTAGCAGCAGCCACGACGCCCGGCGTTGCAGTCTCAAGATACCGCGCAGTGTCGGCCCCCGCGTTTGTCACAATGAGCGTGGCCATTGGGCAAACGAAAAAGATGACGCACTTTGAGGAAGATGGCTGATGAACTAGGTAAATCAGCATGCATGTTTAAAGTAGTACCAAAGCAAGCTAAACGCAAGTAAATATAAAAAAGTGGGAGGAGGGCTAGGTGACATTGCTACCCCCCATGAAAAGTGGGAGGTTATGTCTCCCCTGCCCCCCCCCCCCCCTGTTCCTATACCCATGTGCACAGTGATAGGCAAGCGTGATTAGTTGCATTGCATTTATTCAATGACACAATTATTTATACAGGGCATTGCGTTTACGCTTTACTTTCCATATGCATGAAATTTGCACTGAATTTCCTCGCATAGTTAATCGTATCCCAGTTTTCATGCTCCATCCTGTTTTTCCCGTCGATACTATGATAATTCATAGGGACTCCGGCTTTTTGGTGATGAGTCGGGCTCCTCAGCGTTATAATGCACTTGATGCCCTCTTCCGCCAGGATTTTGCGCCAGTAAGCTTGACTCATTCTGACCCCACCGACATGAGATCGACGGAAGAATGCTACCTAATATGTACCATCAAGCACAAGTGTGGGACATCGCTCACAGTCCACTTGCAAGATTTATCCCTGTTTTGTGTTCCACGTAACTTGATTTTTACTCTGCTCAATACTTATAAATCATTGATCTCTCTTCCCAACTGTAAACAACCGAATTTACCTGGTATCTACGACTAAGGCCGATCAAAATTGACAAAAATCTCCACAGGCATCGGAAATTTCGTAAAAGTAAAGCTAGTCTGCCAGATGCTGGATGCTAGGATGCAATGATGTTAGTGAGATGTCGATGTCAGTACGTGCATGATGCTACAGTGTAAATGAAGCCGCCACATTGACAAACGCCGAAATCAGCCTGAGCCATCTGTCTGTGTGCACACGCAATTCGTAAGTCTTCCTCTGAAGAAAAAATCATGTCGAAGTGACATGTTTATGTAGCGAAGATATTGAATTAACTGATCCTGAAAGTATGCATGACACTAGTTTCCAGCCTTTTAAGCTCTCCACGCCACCCATTCCATTCCTGAGATTATGCACGCCCGGAACAACGCGATGAGAAGAATGCCGGAGGCAATACCGCCTGATATCCTGGATCAGGCTGTTTTGGGCGATGGCTTTAACCTCGAGCGCACTTGAGAGGGTGACAGGCCTAGCAGTTACAACAACTTGGCAAGGGCCTCAGCGCACAGTGGCTCTCGGACTTCTTGCACAGAATGCTGCACGCGGTCTAAGCTCCCTCACCGGCGGGACAAATGCGGAAATGGAACGGAGGTTTTGAATTGCATAGTAGGTAGCTGTGAATGTAGCCAGTGAATGAAATCATTCACTGCATAGTAGCAGTGAATGATTTACGAGCGATCATGTGACTGAAGTTATAACAAATGAAAACCTCGCACTTTTCAGAAACATCGATGCTGTCAATGGTTGTAGAAGACCCTGTTATATATATATATATATATATATATATATATATATATATATATATGAAAGACGAGCTTGAACGAACGCTTATAATTTCAGGGGCATTTTCCTATGCGCTTGTGTGGAAAGTGAGCAGCCATAATACGGAGGGCGCCCCTAGAGACAACGTCAGAAAATCTTCCGATCCCGGCGGCTGGTTGTTTGCGGATACCCGAACTGTAATTGGAGAGTTCAACGGAGGACTTTGAAGCAGCACGTGTCCAGTGGCGGACCCAGGAATGGTCAAAGGGGGCACGAAACATTGTGTGCTCCCTGTACTATGTGGTACCCTCCAAATGTTTCGGATATCGGCGATTAGATTTTAAGGTGCTAAGGTGTGCTATTTTATACGGAAAATTACGTTCCTGTAGGCAACACTAGCGGTGTGGTACGTATGAAGGACTCCCCCAGGCTCCCCCTAGATTTTCCCCTAGATGGCACTCCCTCTTCCCTACTCCCCCGACCATCCTCTTCCCTTTCTCTCCCTACTCTCTCTACATTCATCGAAGGTCGTGGTGCATTCTGTAATTTTAACGCCAAGTTTTTTTCGGAGAAGATACGGCAAGATGAGTTAAAGACGGCCGCTAAATGCCACAAAAATTAAGTTTGACACTTAAGTCACGGGTTATTTACGGTTAGCCGGCTTCTGGCGGCAAGACCATTTAGCATCGAGAGCCTCGATGTGTAAACTTACGTGGGACTCAGCAATAACACAGGGCCTCCGAACGAGTGGAAAGTACCCGAGACCATTGTCCAGGACCGCTGAGGAACCGAGAGTACCCAGGCATGTTAGCATATGGGGCCCTGACAATAGCGTATAAGCATTTCAGGCGAACTGGAGCAATCGATGGAGGGGCCCTGATCGATCTAGAGTATCCTGGCATGTCAGAAGAAAAGGCCCAACAACAGCGTAGGGCCCTCGGAGCAAATGTAAGCAGATCAAGGGCAACGTGGAAAGCCCATTAGCAATTGGATTAACCCGGTAAGTGGACACATAGAGCCCTGAGCTGAAATGTTGAGCCCCAGAGGTGTGGCATCGCCCCGTGAACACCCCCGCCCCCCTCTCCTCTGGATCCACCACTATTTTGGTTTTTAGTTGAGCACGTGATGAGTTTAAACATGGTGCCACCTTATGGCCGATTGCCTGGCTAACGCAATGTTTTGAAGAAATCGCCTCCGCGTAGACTCAGTGTTGGATCCTTTAATTCACGAAACCCGTAGTCAATTTCAGCTCAACAAGAACTAGAATGGAAAGCTAGGGTCTGACGCATAATTGGAGTCAACTTCATGCACCATGAGGTAGATTCGTGGAGAACGAAAAAACGTGGACTTCATTGTGGAGCTGCTGACATGTTATGTCGATTTCGCTGTAGTGAAATGAGGCGGTGTGTTCATTCTGCGTGTAAGTTTGCCCGGTCTTTGTATTTTGACATGAGAAAACAGCACGAGCCGACAGTGCTTCACAGTTTCTGATTTGGATGGAGCACGCGAAATTGCCACAGCCACGCATCACCTGGTGCCAATAAAAACTTTTCAGTCAACAATAAGCTTTTCATGATAGGCACCATATGGTAGCGGACCCTGGGGCAAAATGGCGCTCTTGTGTTATTTGCGCTGAAGTTTGCCTTGTGGTTTGTTATTCCAGTCTCGTGCCGTCGTTCCGTGCTGGTCAGTCGATGTTCCTGATGTGAGTGGGGTGGCCAGAATGGGAGCGTAGGTGCGTTCTATGTAAAAGTGGTGTTTTGATGTGATTTTTTTTCTTCCTATGATAGTTTACATGCCGACCAAGTGAGAGTTGCACGTTGTATTACCGCACGGTTGGGCGGGGGCTTCCTTGATGGGGTTCGGGGTAAGGCGTGCTGAATGAGCCTTGCTATGGGTTAAAACAAGGCCTTTTGCGTGTTTTTAAGTGCTTAAAAATTAGAAGATGGATAACCAATGTGTTGGTCCTGGCTCCACACACTCCTGGAGCTAATGCAGTTTCGATATTGGATTGTCAGGCCACCCCACAGGCATGTGACAAATGGGAATGGGCCAGGGGCTCTGGTGGTGGAGAAATGATGTCAGGTTGTAACAAAAATGGCCTCTTTGCTGTTGCGGGCTTATTAGAATTGTAGCTGTAGCCAGGATTAGTGAGAATGGCTGGGCACTCAACTGGCAGTGGGTGGGCATGTCATGTTTTATCTTATGAGTCCTGGCTCCCTCCAGGACCCACCCATCTGATGATGGTGAATGCTGAAAATTTGTACTCCTAGCCACCCTTTTGAAAACTGATCTATTAGCATAAATATCTCTAACAACAAACTTGTTTTGTTGGCTCAAGTGCATTGTTTATCATTAAGGATAGTATTTTATAGGTTATTGGTTATCCAACACTTTTTGGAAACCCATTTTGTAACTTTATTGCCATGAGCATGAAAACTGCCACATTAGGGCTGGAACAAACTTATAGGCTCAAATATGCAGTATTTTAATAGTTAGATCTTAGCTTATGGTTGTGCTGGTGTATAGGAAAATAAATTGAAGTTTCTCTGAGCCAGTTATGCTGGACAGTCTCCTGTGCTCATGCAGCAGGGCTTGCATTAGCATAACTCCTGTTAGGTTAGGTTAAGGTTAGGAGGTAGTATGATGGTCTATAAAAAAACTTTAACTTAGAAAAATGACTAGAAGACTTAGATTAGACTTGTACTTAATTATTATTGTAATTCAATCACTCTGTGATTTTATAGCAGCATATTATTGTTCCTGTCCTTGTTACAGTACCTTTGGCATTACACAACTTTGGTGAACTACACTCATTGAATCTAGGGATGTAGTTCAGTATATATTTGCTTTGTGATGGCATGGTACCATTGAGTATTATTTTCCTGTAATTTTGTGGTGTGCAGGGTGGTTGACAACACAGGTTTTCAGTGAAGGATAGGTGAATCCAAGGGTGAGTCCCAAATCTGCTGGACCAAAGGTGAGTCCCTAATCTGCTGGGACCAAAGGTGGGTCCCAAATCTGCTGGCACCAAAGGTGGGTCCCAACTCTGCTGGGACCAAAGGTGAGTCCCATATCTGCTGGGACCAAAGGTGAGTCCCAAATTGATTGGGATAAAAGGTGAGCCCCAAATCTGCTGGTCACTCAGGTTTTGGGTAGAGGTATGCTGTAAAGGTTGCAGGTGTATTAAGAGGTTATATTGTAATACTTTGATGCCAACTTTTACATTAGGCAATAAATGTACATTTGGATCAATTCAGTACATGCAGCCAATTGTGAATGTGCCACATATTCAGAGCATATTGGGTGAGGGTGAACAATTGTTTGGAATGTTACCAAAGCAAGATTTGTCATTACCTATTCATGCATGATGTTTAAATAAATAAGACTACAAAAGGGCTCAAGCTGAGCTAAACTGCTTCTGTGATGCATCAGAATAAATGGCAGTAATTATTCTGGTTTCATGAGGTAGTAATTATTCTGGTTTCATGTAACATTTCAGTAAGGACCAGTGTGCTCTGAACCTGTGTACTCTGGAAGTTTAGTGTGCCAGTGATGTATTGTTAATACAGTGGAGATCACTCCAGGGGCACTAAAAACTTCCCATCTTGAGGGGCCACTAGTCATTTTTGGTTATTAGTTTCCAGTCAGTACTAAAAGAGTTGATGTGACATTTTCAGAAAGCTGTAAGAGCCCAGAATCAAGTGTTTCTGGGCCATGTTGATGTAACCCCCAGAACATGTGGTTGGGCGCCAAATGACCACCACAGTTGGCGCTCCCCTGAACTCCAATAACCAACAACAACCAAAACATGTGGCATATATTTGCTGTGACCTGTAGTAAGGCCAAGCAGGAGCTGCCCATGGAATACTTTTGTAGCATTTACAGGTAGCTAACTTTACGGGAAATGTGCAAACAGGGCTTACCGGCTTCACTTCCATCATCCTTAAGTTGTAGTAGCCGCATGAGCTTATCCAAGTGTGAGATCAAGATGATACTATGGTGTCACTAGGTCTGCTACTGGGTCATTTTTACCATTGCTGGCAGTGTCATTGATGGAACATGTTGCATGAAAAAGAGACACCTACTGCTGGCATTAGTTTTGGCATGTCGTGAATTGGTACAAAAAGTAAAATAACCAGTCCATTTGGGCCTCGGTGGCAATATCCCCTTCCAGTTGGGTGCTGGATGAGATTGCAAAACTTGCATGGATGTCAGGGCATTTCAGGGGAAATTGTTGCAGGGCAAAGCTACCAGTATATCATTATGTCATGGAATGCTTTGTGGGGACACAGACTGTGCCTGGAATATCACATTGAGCATTACATGTTGATTTGCCAAGCAGTGGTATGCATCATTGCTAATTGGAAAAAGTTTCAAAGAAGTTTGTGCACAGTGAGCTTATTAAATGTTGACTTTCATGTAGCCACTTTTATGTTTTGATAATGATGTTATGTTTCAGGTGTTGCTGTACTGGTATTGAATGGATATCAAAGTTTTTAGTCATTTCATAAGGTACTTATCAAACTTTTTAGTATGTGGCAACAGCAGTAACTGTGCCAATATCCACTGTGTCTCGTGATTTGAAAACTGCGACCAAGTGTTGCTGAATAATCTTGGGAGAAACAGCAGGGAATGACACCATTGGCATGAAGTCCTGACAGAGTTTGTGACAAACTGTGGATTATGGGCATAGTTTGCTGTGCCATTTGAGACATTTGAAGAGAAAACTCCAAGATGTCTGCTCATCACACTCTCAAAAGTTCCACAGGTCAGTCATTGTTTGTGTGTGCATGCTGATTTTTCAGAGTGTATTTTCTATCACCATTTACCAAAATAAAGGATTCTGAATGTTGAGGCCTGAATCTTGCAGCCAATTCTGAATACAATCAAGGTTAAGAGCAAGATCGGTGATTGTCACAGATGCCTGGCTTTAATTTCAACCTTGGAGCGTTCTCAGATGTGAGTTGTTCAGTTCTTGAGGATGGATAGGGCATTGGATGTGATATGCACAACAGCAGGTAGAAAGCTGGGCGTGATAACGCGCGCTGGACCACTCCTGTCATGTGCCTAATTCAGAAAGTTCCCGGCGGTGGGATAGCGGTCACCTAGCTGGTCGTTGGTCGTGTAGTCTGAAGGAAGTTACGGTTGCGGTATTTAGTTTAGGAGCAGACTTGGACGTGACACCGTAGCCAATGACATCTTACACTCTCATCACATCCAACGAGCAGTGCGTAGAATCGCCACAAATCATGCCTAATGCATACCTTTTACGTTCTAGAAGATCAGCATAGGGCTTCCGATGATGAGGACAAAGCTGAGTTCATGAAGCCATTTAAAGAAGGTGAGGCTGCCTGCGTTTTCTGAAGCTCTCCAGGGCCAGTACAAAGTTCCCTTTTGCCGTCTGCTGCCGACATCACGTGCTGGCGGTCGATCAACTTTCATACGGCGTGTCTGCCCAGATCATTTGCGCTGCTGCCATTCCGCCCCGAAATAATCAAATCAATTCAGGGGGCCTCAGGGTATAACTGCGCTTTGAAATGTCAACGCTATTAATATAAGCACCTATGTGGGACTCGTTTGAAGCTACTTACTATTCTGCATCGCTTCCCTCCGATTTTGAACTTGCCCACTCACCTGGGTCACGTAAATTGAGTTGCACGCAAGTTTGGAGCTTTGTGTCTCATTTCATGGAAGGTTGAGCCATCGTCCGTACCACTTGTCAAGCTGGGCACTTGATTAGCAAAGCATACAGCCATGCTTCTAATGTATGATCACCTAATGTGAGGTTAACATATCCCGGAGTTGGACTCGAGCAGACTGAGTGTCGACCGTTGCGGAGACATTGCTATGGACCAGCTGTGACTTTTGTATTGCCTTGTCTTGACTGACGTGACTTGACTCGCACGGATGCAGCGCTGTGACTGCTAGGGCTAGGGATCACGCGTACTCTCTTCGCGACGTATGGGCCCCGTCATAGCGAAGGCGCGGCCCAGTGTTACATGTTGTGACATGACGAGACCTGGCGTAGCGCTGTCTTCATTCGTCGGTGCGCAAGACGCGCCCGAGTGGAGTGGTTTGAGCTGACCTGGCGCGGTGACCGGCCAGGCTGGCGGGCGCGAGCTGGTCCACCGCACCTCGGCGGCCGCGTGGCGCCGCGACCTGGAGCCGGCCCAGAATGGACTGCTACTACTTCACGCCGCAGGGCAAGAAGCTGCGCTCGCTGAAGGAGATCGAGCTCTTCTGTGAGTATGGCACTCCCGGCCCAGCAGCGCATGGCACTCTCCCGGGACACGCAGCGGCGTGGCACTCCCGGGCCCAGCAGCGCTGGGCACTCCCGGGCCTCAGCGCATGACACTCCCGGGCCAGCAGCGCATGACACTCCCGGGCCAGCAGCGCATGACACTCCCGCGCCAGTAGCGTGTGACACTCCCGGGCCAGCAGCGCATGACGCTCCCGGGCCAGCAGCGCACTCTCCCGGGCCAGCAGCGCGTGACACTCCCAGGCAGGCAGCACGTGGCGCTCTCGGAAAGGCGCTCCCAGTCCCAGCTTCACCGGGCACTCATGCCAGACCGGCACCCGTAGCTATCTCTGGACAAGGGCAGGCGCTTGAAGTACTCTGTCTCCCATAGCAGGCATTCATAAACTCCAGCGGCAGTCATTCGAGGTGCTCCCCGAATGACCTCAAGGCAGGCATGGTGGTGCTGCACGGGAAGCGCGGGACACTCGGGGGCAGGCAGCCAATGCATCCATGGGCTCACGTCGTTCACAAGGCCAGCCTCCATGGTGGGTGCTGCCGGGAGGCGGGAGTTGCCAGCAGTCGGCGATCCTCGGGCCAGCGTGCCGCCAGAAATTAATGTGCGATCTCCGGGCAACACCCTTCCCCGACCGTCGTGCCAGGGAGACGCTGCCATCACTGGGATGACTGCCGGGCGGGAGATCCGTGTCGCCCAGAGCGCCTCGGCGGTTACTCGCGCGGGCGTCACGGCGGTAGTGGTCTGCGGTGTTACCCCGGCGGCCTGGCCTCGGTCGGATGGACGCCTGGCCTGCCCCCTGCCCTGGCTGGCTGCCGCGGCCCGCCTGCGCGGTCCGCGTGGGCGCACCCGCTCCGCCCTGACGGCGCCCGCCCCGCCCTGACGCCGCTCGCCCCGCCCTGACGGCGCTGCCCCGCCCCGCCCTGACGGCGCCGCCCCGCCCTGACGGCGCACGCCCCGCTCTGACGGCGCAACGCCCTGTCCGCAGTGGAAGAGAGTGGCTCCGCGCTGCCGCCGAGCTGCTTCACGCTGCAGCGGCGCCTGCTGGGCGTCGGGCCGCCGGAGGAGACGGAGCGCGAGGCGCGCTCCCAGCCGCCGCCGTCAGGCCACCGCCCGCTGGACGGCGAGGGGCAGCCGACGGCGCGGGACTCCGTCCAGGCGGCCGCCCGCAAGGTGAGAGGCGCGCTGGAGAGCTGTGCTCGCTCGGGGGCGGCGTCGCTGAAGAAAGGAGGCAGGGGATCTCTGGGTGACTAGCGGTGGGATGGGAGGGTGGTGAGCAGAGGTGGTAAATACACCGCCCTAAGGCGACATGAGCCTGCAGCGTACTTTGCTACCTTCTGGCAAGCGGCACAACTGATGGGGTACTGCTAGCAACTGTTCCAACTCCCCAGCACTTCCAGTGAATTTTGTCTCCTTTAATGGCCGTCCAATGTAATGATACTCCCACCATTTTGCTATCTTTTGAGGTCACTCATATTCTGTCTTTTGCAGTTTGCAGATGGTATTGACTGTTTTATACATTAAAACGCCGTGTGTTGCGTTTATGGGAGGCGTGACATCAAGGCCTTCCAGAGCACCCGTGGATCCAGGATTTGTCCTGACCTGGAGAGGGCAGGGTCGGACGCGGTCCGATTAAATGGAGCGACTCTTCTGCAACCGCGGCCAACAAGTACTATGCACGGCTTTGCCTCCCACCCAGTTTTGGGCAATGCCGCTGCTCTTCGTTTTCAGCGCCGAGAAGCGTTCCGCGAAGCGAAGAAGGGACGGCGACTGATAGAGCAGGCCAGGCGGTCGGTGCTGCGCGTGGTCTTATCCAAGCACATGGGCAAGCCGGTTCGGACAGCGCAGGTCGGTTCGCCGGAGCGGCGCAGCCGGAAGCTGCGATTGAAGGGAGGTCGCGAAAAGCCGCCGGTATCGTCCGAAGCCGAGCCGGAGCAGACGCCGACGGAGTGGCCGTCGAAGTCGCGCCTCAAGGTGCGGGAGAGGGTGCGGTCGGGTAGGGTGTGGCTGTGGTGGAGGGTTGGGTGGTGGCGAGCCCAGGCGTTGTTAAAGGCTGCGGAATGGTCAGTTTGGGCTGAAAAGGCGCGGGCCTCCCTGTCGGTGTGTCGCGTGACGAAGGAAACTCTCTTGAGGTGCCATCATGTATTTTGCACGCCCGCAGGCGGCTGCTGGGGTTGTGCTGCTGCGGCCGGACGAACTATGACGGGTTGGGCCGCAGCTGTGTCAGATCCGGCCGAGGTTCCGACGCCTGTATGGGGTCAGGATCATCCAGAATGGCGCGCAAGATCTGGCGCACTGTGGTGTGAGCTGTCCTCGCTCCCCGTTGCAGCACGCGGCGGACGCTACCCGGGCCCTGTGTCACAGTGCGTGCTGGCAGGCACCTGAACCTCTGTCTCGGTCCACACTGACCTCCCCCCCCCCCGCCGCCGCCGTCTGTTACAGTACATGGTGAAGGGCAAGGCCAGTGGGGAGGGGGGTACCGAGGAGTGGTTGCGGCGGCTGCGGCCCTGGCGGCTGGCGCTGGTGGAGCCGGACGGCGGCCACGAGCTGCGCGATAGTCCGGCCCGTGATCTCTGCCAGGCTTACCTGGCGCTGCTGGGCGCCAAGCCCGCCGCCTTCTGCCAGCTCATGGTCGGGTAAGCACGGTCGCCGCCGGCGGGGCGCAAGGCGGGAGGTGGCGGGCGCGGGGCGAGCGTTCCTTCGACTAGAGACACCTGCCTGTAGCCAGAAATGATGCAACCGGCTTCTCCATGACCGACTATCGCTGCAGGGTCCTTTCTTAACACTCAGAAACATAACTTGCAGCAGACTTTTGTGAAAAGTCTGTTGTGTTAAAAGTGATATCGCCAAATGGGCTGTTCTTCCCGTGGATGGATAGGGCCAACTTGAGCCGTCGTGCCCAGTAGCGGCGCCAGCGGTGTGCGCTGTCACCCCTCACCTCGCACGTGGCTGCGGCCAGTGGTGCGGGGACGTTTGGCTGACGGCCGCCTGCTGCGCGCGGCCCGCAGCCAGGTGCAGCCGGAGGCGCCGTGCAGCCTGTTCTGCTTCCTAACGGCGGCCGGCGGTCGGGCCGTGCTGCCCACCACGCATTGCCTGGCCTGCCGCTGCCTCTGGCACCCGGCCTGCGTCGGCCTGGAGGAGGCGACCGCCAAGCGGCGCGACTTCATCTGCCTGGTGAGCGGGCGGGCCGCTGCAGGGATCCCGCCGCTGTGACATGCTGCTGGAGGGAGGCGGGCGGGCCGCTGCAGGGATCCCGCCGCTGTGACATGCTGCTGGAGGGAGGTGGGCGGGCCGCTGCAGGGATCCCGCCGCTGTGACATGCTGCGGGAGGGAGGCGGGCCGGCCGCTGCAGGGATCCCACCGCCGCAACGTTGCTGCTGGAAGGAGGCGAGGCGGAAAAGGCCGACTGCTTACCATTACGTATCCCAGATCGGGTAGTTGTCTGCGATGGTTTGCCGCCTCGTGCCCGGCCGGCGGCCGGCGGCTGTCCCCTGACCTGTCCGCCGCCCCGGTCGCCAGGAGTGCCACCACTATCTGCGTCTGGTGTACGAGCGCACGCTGGTGGAGGGCGTCAAAAAGTCAAGGACCATCGACTGGCCCGGCCCGGACGCCGTGGAGATGGAGGACGACTGGGGGCCGCCGCCGCTGCTGTGGGGGCCGATGTCGGACCATCGCCATCCGGGTATGCTGGTCGGCGACGCTTGCGAACCAGTGGACTCTGCAGGGGGCAGGGAGCTTGTGCTGGATCGTTTACTCGCATTTGTCATGGGATTGAAGGTACCTCACGCTTGCGGGCCAGCAGCCTAACTTACCGGGTGGGACTGTGCTGATCGCTGCCTTCACTAAAGCGGGGGGATGGGTTTTGTTTCGTTTCGGTTGTCGTTGAAACTTGTGCTCGTTTGTTGGTCGCCAGATGTCTCACCGGACGGCCAGCTGGATGGGGCCGGCGCGCGCGCTAAAGGACCTCCGCCGCTGCGGCGAGCGCCGGCCATGCCGAACGCCGAGCGGCCGATACCTCCGCCTCTGCAGAGGGCGCCGCCGCCGCCGCCGCTGCTGCTGGGGTCTGATGTCGAGTCGCCAGCCCCAGCGCG